TTATTAGGAATGAATTAATTTCCCAACTATACTAGCTCCTTTTCATCTGTCCTGGTAAGTGCTATAAAAGTAGGTTCACAGTTGATTTCAGCACAGGCCTGCGTAGCTCTGTAAACTGGGCCAAGGAGACTCAAAGATGAGTGAGGGAGGGTGTCTTGCTTACCTAGTGCTGCTGTAACAAAAATACCACAAGTGAATGGCTTTGAAGAACAGATACTTGTTTTCTAACAGTCCAAGAAGTTAGAAGTCTGAATTCAGTGAGAGGTCCTCTCGTGGGAGCTCTTTCCTTGTCAGTAGCCCCATGAAGTCCTTGGCATTCCTTGGTGTTCCTCAGCATTCTTTGTTATCCCTGGTATCGGCCCTATCCTCCTGTGTCTCTTTGTCTATTCTCCTCTTTTTATAACTCAGAAATGATTAGGTTTAGGATCTACCATACTGTGATAAGACCTCATTAAGATAGCAAACGAACAAACAAAAGGCACATCCTACTTCTAAACAGAATCATATTTACAGGTACAGGAATTAAGAACTCAATTGTGGGAACTCAATTCAATCTATAGCAAAAAGTTCCACTCTCAAGGAAGAGGGATATATATGTACAGCAGATGTCATAAACATTATTAAATTTACTTTTTGGATACATTGGTATACAGGTAGTCCCCAACTTATGACATCTTTGAGTTATGACAAATCACACTTATGACCTTCCATTTTTTTGAAATCTGATCGTTAGTAATATAGTACAGATATATATATTATATATATATAAGGAGCTCTGGTAACGTAGTGCCTAAGGCACTTGACTGCTAACCAGAAGGCTGGTGGTTCAAACCCACTAGCCACTCCCTGGAAGGAAGGTTGGGCAATCTACTTCCATAGTGATACTGCCTCGGAAACCCAAGGAGGGGTCACTATGAGTTGGGTCCGACTCGACAGCACATAACAACAACAACATGTATATATATATACACACACACACACCATATATATGGTGTGTGTATGTATGTACGTGTTTGTGTGTATGTGTGTGTGTATACACACACATACACACACACATATATATAATGTAATATAAGGATCTCTAGTTTTTTAGTTCTCGGAAGGAAGGTTGGGCAATCCACTTCCGTAGTGATACCTCCTCAGAAACCCAAGGAGGAGTCACTATGAGTCGGATCTGACTCAATAGCACATAACAACAACAACAACAGTGCTATAGTGAGTAAGGCATTTGGCTGCTACCAGAATATCAATGGTTCAAACCCACCAGCAGCTCTGCAGGAAGAACTTGGGGTAATCTATTTCTGTAAAGATTTACAGCCTTGGAAATGCAATGGAAGTCACTATGAGTTGGAATTGACTCGATGGCAGTGGTTTTTTTTTTTTTTTTAATAGATAATTAGTAATAACTACTTACAATGTTGCAGCTTGTAATTTGCTGACGTCATCATATTTGTAGGTTTATATGTAATGTTTCTGACCTCCAAAGACAAATAAAGATTACATTTATAAAGCTACTGATAATAAAAGGCATTAATAAAGAAAAATTAAAAAAAAAGATGTTCAACTTACATATGAACTGAATTATGATGAGTCATTGAAACAGAACCCATCATAAGTCAGGGACAACCTGTATATTTATATGCACAAACATTTTTCTTTTCTCAACAGGACACCATTATGGCCTTGAAGGCCCTTTCTGAATTTGCAAGCCTAACACACACAGAATGGACAACTATCCACGTGAAAGTGATGGGGTCTAGTTTACCAAGTCCTGTAAAGTTTCTAATTGACACACAGAACCGCTTTCTCCTACAGTCGACAGAGGTAGTTAATGCAGTGTGTGGACAAGAGATGGGTATTTAAAATTATGTGTAGTTGATTCTTTATGATTGAATGCTACTTTATTTCCATTATAGTTATTTGAGCAGAGAGTTGTTCCCAGAGCCCTGTAGAGGGACAGGTAGAAAGGGGAGACTTCCTTTGGTTGAATTTAGTCCGTTGGGAAAGGGTGGAGAGGAACGGTATTTTGGAACAATTGGTGGAAAAGGAGAAAAGATGGACTTGGTTATATTGGGAAAGGAATTACCATCCACTGAGTTCTTATTCTTTATAGACACTGTGCTGGACTCTTTTACATATGTTTTTGCTTCTTAAAACAACACTAAGTAGATACTTTTATTGAATACATGATGAAACTGAAGCTCAAAAAGTTAAGTAGCTTCTTTAAGATCATGCAGTAGAGTTTGACTTGAACTCATGAGACAGCTGCATCATACTGTCTCTTAGAAGAGTTGTGTAGAACCAGTAGTAGAATTTTTATTTTAAAGTGGAGTAAAGAATGTGCTAGTCCCTAACTTTATCCCCTTGGTTTACCTTGTTGGAAGTTGAGGACAGTGGATGAAGATGACTTCAGGGCTAGAAATTGAGGAAAAGGGTGATGGGAAAGAAACATAAGGAAGAAAGTTAGGTATAGTCAATAATGATGTGTCATTGTGTTTCCAGGAAGGTCAGAGGAATAAGGCCCTGACTAAGGAAGCTTAGCAGAAGGAGATGACTTACATGCTTCTCAACCCCTACAGGAAGGCAGACCGTCCATAGTACTAATATGCCCTCCCAAAGGGAGAGGTGAGGGTGTCCAGAGACTGTACACTTCCTGTACACTTCCTTTGTTTTCACCTAATTTACCTGGCTGACCCTTAGCTTTTGATATGTAAGGCCATGTATAGCTCTTAGCCCTTTCCATGGAGTGCTTATACTTTGAGTGAGGGCTAACACTGATTTCTCATGCCTCTTGGGAGGACATATATATGGCAAATTCGCCTCATTCACTTTTTTTCCCCTACTTTTATTCAGCTTCCTGTGGTACAGCCAATTGAAGTTAATATTTCTGCGGATGGTTTTGGATTTGCTTTTTGTCAGGTATGCAATAATGCTTGCTTTTGCTTACTAAAATATGACATTTTAGAATAAATCTTTGGTTGGAAGCATTGCTAATATTTAAATTAGTTAATCTGTATAAAATTCCTAATGATTTATGTCTATGACTTAGGGAAAATAAGTCACTCACTGTCTTTAATAAAAAAATATTAGAGATGTTACCAGCTAGTAAGTAGAGCAATGGGAAGGATTTATAATCAGTTTGAAAAAGATTTCTTGGAGATTATTTACTTTTTAAGGTAAGAGTTAAAATCCTCTAATTCATGTGCATTGTTAGGAACCTCCACCTTTTGTGTGTGTGTGTATGTGTGTGTTTGTGTGAATACAGCTCAAAAACTGCAATGTTGGCAGAATTTCTACTATGACTTGATAAACAAATACACATTTTTCTTGCAAGTTCATAACATTCATTTAATAATATATAAGTAAACAAGACATTACAAGTTATTGATTTGAAAATAGAAGATACATTCTTTTAATGTAAAACATGGCAATTAGAACATGGTTGTTCAGTGTTCAGCTCTGGCATGGGAAGACTACTCAAAGAAATCTTCCTTTTGTGGTGCAATAGGAGTGGCAGTAAAATGAAAGTTTATGAAAAGATTCTGAACAGAATTGTTACTATATTAAATAATGCATGAAGATCACAGGGACTTTAAAATCATCTTATTGGAAACTCAGGATTATATGTGATAGGATCAAAAGGGATTATGTACTTGGGTAGAAAGTGTAAACCAAACAAACCCTGAAATACTTAATGAGAAAGTTTTTATTTTTATTTTTAAAAGCAGCTTTTACAGGGAAAAGGTACTTTTTCAAGAGAACAGGTATTCTTGCTAAGTAGGCAGATGGTCAGATATATTACAGAAACTTTCAGATAAATCTAAGAATATTTTTGATGATACTCAAAATACAGTAAATGTTTTTAAAAATCAAAAAAAGATGATTACAGTGAAAAGGAATAGTATCCAATGAAAATGACAGAGACAAAGTGGTTATTTGTATTCATCTTTACTAACAAATACCATGGGAAAATTCTCATTTCCAAGTTGTGTATTGCTGCAAACAGTAAATCTAATAGTAAGTACATAGGATAGTTCAGATACTGTTCTTAAATCTCCAGTTTTGTTGGTATTAATTCTTGATAATGAAGTGTCAATAATAACTGAAACTAAGTGATTTTTACTTGAGGATTGAAGACATGTGTAACTGTGGTACCTACTGGTCAGAACGTTCATCAGTCCTATGTCTATATCGAAATGCAGAAGCAAAAGGTAGGGAGAAAAAATTGGAAAAATTACGTTACCCAGGAATGAGATTTTTCAGTTGATATTTTTGTGAGAACTTGGGAAGAAGAAGGGCAAAGAAAACTCTCAGGTTTGCAGCAAATGCTAAGCTTTTTTGGGTAATATAATGCTAAGCTGTTGGAAAGAAACTATAAGGTCTCTTGAAGTTCTCTAATAGAACAGTTAAACTTTACCGCAGGCCATATATAAACTCTAATGCTTAGTTATAGATGGCCATTAATTATGACCAAGGGACAAATCTAGTAGTCATAGCTTATTTCCTGATGACATTGCTATCTAAAGGACAGTGCATGTCATTGGAAAGAGAATGATGAAAATGACAGAGACTAGTTCTCCAAGTTTATGACAATAAACAATAATTCTAATTGTTGCAGTTTAAGAAAGAGTTGGAGAATGCCCAGAGAGATACAATCACAATGACCAAAGGGAGGAAGGGCTATATGAGTTGGCTGTGGCAGAGTAAAAAGATAAGAACTCTTAGGCTTGAAAGATGAAGGGTTAGAGGATTTTTGTTCTGAAAGGTATGTGTATGTGTTTTTTAAGTACATACACTAAAAGAAAATACAACTTTATATAGCAATAGAAACTTGGTGTCAATCAAAGTAGAAGAAAGAAAATATTTAAATAGCTTCCAGTCCATTCTGGAATGAGGTGAGACTAGGAAATTTTTAGTGCGTTCTCAAGCTTATGATTTTAGGATTCCTTTGAGAAAGATTGGGAGCTCTGGTGGCATGGTGCCTGAGGCATTTGACTGCTAATCAGAAGGCTGGTGGTTCAAACCCAATAGCCACTCCTCAGAAGGAAGGTTGGGCAATCTACTTCTGTACTGATACCACCTCGGAAACCCAAGGAGGGATCACTGTGAGTCGGGTCCGGCTTGATGGCAGTGTGTTTGGTTTTTGGTTTGGTTTGAGAAAGATGTCTTCATAGCACCTTTCACATTGGTGGACACAAAGTATTTGCTGAAAAAGTCCCTGTTGACTTGAAGTTCACTATTTATTTTATCATCTTTATCTTCCTGAGAGTTTCTAAAGTTCCAGTTTATGAAAAATTATTCCATTTGGGCATAACAAATGGAAATACTTATTGTTATGAAGTCAATTTTGACTCACAACAAACCAACGTGTAACAGAGTATAACTATTCAATAGAGTTTTCTTGGCTGTAATCTTTTTGTTTTAAATTTATTTTGTTGTTGTTGTTGAGAATATACACAGCAAAACATACATTAGTTCAACAGTTTTGATATGTACAATTCAGTGAAATTGATTACATCCTTCGAGTTGTGCAACCACTCTCACCCTCCTTTTCTGAGTTGTTCCTCTCCATTAATGTGAACTCACTGCCCCCTAAGGTTCCTATTTAATCTTTTGAGTTGTCATTTTGGTCCCGTATGAATAGATCTTAAAAAAGCATAATGCTCGAGGCAGATACTCTTTACTGCCTTTAATTTTTATGAGAGCAGATTTTTCTTCCGTGGTGCTGTTGGGTGGGTTTGAACCACCAACTTTTAGGGTAGTAAAGAAGCACAAACTCTTTGTGCTACCCAGGTACCTTAAGTTGGGCAGTAGAGCTTAGAAATTAGTGGATGCTGTCAACAAAGTTAAGGAGCTCTGGTGGTGCAGTGGTTAAGGCATTTGGCTGCTAACCAAAAGGCCAGTGGTTCAAACCCATGGGCCACTCTGAGGAAGAAAGATGAGGCAGTCTGCTTCCGTAAAGATTTACAGCCTTGGAAACCCTATAGGGGTAACTCTAAGTTGGAATTGACTTGATTGCTGTGAGTTTGGTTTTTGGAGTTTGGTCAACAAAGTTGGTAATAGGTTCACTTTTCCCTTAAGTGAATGTTTTACATTCTTTGAAACAGCATTATTCCATGACTGCTATTGATCATAATCAGTGATACTTATTTTGAATTATAACCTAACAATTTTCTCAATTTAAAAGATTATTGCTTACCTAAGGAGCTCTGGTAGCATAGTGGCTAAAGCACTTGACTGCTATCCAGAAGGCTGGCGGTTCAAACCCACCAGCCACTCCTTGGAAGGAAGGTTGGGCAATCCTACTTCCGTAGTGATACTGCCTTGGAAACCCAAGGAGGGGTTGCTATGAGTCGACTCGACGGCACACAACAACAACAACAACAACAACAACATGTTTACAATAATATTTGTTAGTAATGAGATTTGTTAGCCAACAAAGCTATTTTTTTTTTAATTTGAAAATTATTCCAAATCTAATTGAGATTATTTCAAAGAAAATCAAGGCCTATTATTTAGAATGTGCAGTGATGGCAATTTATTGCTAATAGTTAGCTATTAATTCTTATTTATTGCAGTTCAATGTTATTTATAATGTGAAAAATTCAGAATCTTCTAGAAGACGAAGATCTCTTCAAAATCAAGAAGCCTTTGATTTAGATGTTGCTGTAAATGATAATGAAGATGATGTCAACCACTTGAATATGAGTGTGTGCACAAGGTAGGCATTTGTTTAGGTCCTTCTGTCTCCTTTTTTCCTTTTTTAAAAAAGTATTTGAGAACTTAATTATATATAGTTGTTTTTAGCCATATCAATTGCATATAGTTGCTTAACCATATCAATGAAAGAATTACATTTAACAAAGAATTCAGTTATGTATTATACTTCAGATTACAAACTTGAAATATTGCTAATTATACTTAAATGTTTCTTAAACTTGTCCAAAAAATTATGTATAAATTTCCCTTACATACGTAACACATTTGAGTAAAAATACATATTAATAAGTTTTGCATCTAATTTAGAAAAACTCTAAATTAACCAGTGATATTTAATACTTGACTGCTAACCAGAAGGCTGGCAGTTGAAACCCACCAGCCACTCCTCGGAAGGAAGGTTAGGTAATAATCTACTTCCCTAGTGATACTGCCTCAGAAACCCAAGGAGGGGTTGCTATGAGTCAGGTCTGACTCAACGGTACATAACAACAACAACAACAATTTAATATTAAAAAATTGTTATTTCATGTTGTGAGCTAGTCTTCTATTAAAATAATTATTCCAGATTCACATTTAACCTATTATCTAAAACTTAATAACAGTCATACAAATTCAACGAAAAGAATAAATAAATGTTTTAGACATGGCAAAGATATTCTCATTTAATTGGATATTAGGAACTTAGCTGAAACTTCTGGGTTTGCTTATTAAAAGCCAAACCAAACCTACTGCCCTTGAATCAATTTCAACTCATAGCAATCCTAGAGGACAGAGTAGAACTGCTCCCTATGGTTTCATAGGCTGTAAATCATTTAGGGAAGCATATTGCTTTATCTTTCTTTCATAGAGTGACTGGTGGATTTGAACTGCTGACCTTTTGTGTAGTAGCTGAATGCATTAACCACTATACCACCAGAGCTCCTTTTGAAATTGCTTATTTGGGTAATAGTAAATTTGGCTTGTATTCAAATCACCCGAAGAGCTTGTAAACCATAAGGAGAAAGAGCCCCATAACAAACCTATTGACTTCACAGAGTCAGAGTCACAAAGCTGCATTGTTAAGCTTTCTTCGTCATTCTAATGCATATACAAGTTTGAGAACTCTTCCTTTGGAAAGGGAGAGACTTAACAATTTCTTCCTCCTGGCATTCTAGACTCTTACCTCTGCATTATTTGGTGTAGAGCTGAGAGTTAATCATAAAGGTGCATTGATACTGAGGAACTGCTGTCTGCTTGTTTGAAATAATTCATCACATTGTGTTCGAACTTAGCTGTTGTCAGACTGGACTCAATTTCAGAATAATGGTATCACATTATTATTGTTGTGAATGTGTTATTGTTGTTAAGTGCTGTGGAGTTAATTGTTGACTTGTAGTGACCCCATGTGACAGAGTAGAATTTCCCTATAGGGTTTTCCAGCTGTAATCTTTACAGAAGCAGATTGCTATATCTTTCTCCCATGGACTTGCTGGGTAGTTCGAACCACTAGCCTTTCTGTTAGCAGCTGAGCTTTCAACCACTACACCACCAGGGCTCCTTGTTGTAAATATAACAACATACATTTATCATACACTTATGTTCCAGGCACTGTATCAAGCACTTTCACATGCATCTTATTTAATCCTTACAATAACTCTATAAAGTAGAAGTGATTATCCCTGCTTTTCTCATTCACTCGTTCATGTATTTATTCATTCAGTAATACTGGATGAGTCTATACTATGTGCCAGACTCAGTTTCAATTGTGACATATAATAGAGAGCCAAAAGAGACAGGCCTAAACTTTATGGAGCTTACTATTTGAAGGATTTCTTAGATATGTTGTTGTTATTGTTATGTGCCGTCAAGTAGGACCTGACTCATAGCGACCCCTCCTTGGGTTTCCGAGGCAGTATCACTATGGAAGTAGATTGCCCCATCTTCCTTCCGAGGAGTGGCTGATGGGTTTGAACCACCAGCCTTCTGATTAGCAGTCAAGTGCCTTAGGCACTACGCTATCAGAGCTCCCCTTAGATATGTAGTGCTGCTATAACAGAAATATCACAAGCAGATGGCTTTAACAAATAAATTTATCCTACCTATCACAGATATGCCTCGGAAACCCAAGGAGGGGTCTCTGTGAGTCAGGACTGATTCGATGGCATGTAACATCACAGATTAGGAAGTTAGAAGTCTGAACTCAGGGTGCCATCTCTAGGAGAAGGCTTTCTCTCTCTGTCAGCTAGGGGAAGGTCCTTGTCTCCTTTCTACATCTGTGCACTTGGTGTCCCTTGGAGATGTTCATGTGCTTGGCGTCAGTCTTCTCTTGGGTCTAGGAGGTTCCCAGCACAGGGACCCCCAGTCTAAAACATGTGCTCTCCTCATGGTGGCGCTGAGGTTCCTCTGTCTCTGCTCTCTTGTTCAGCCTTGCCCCTTGTCAGCTCTACTATACACCTGGGAATTCTGAT